ATATATATATATATATATATATATATATATATATATATATATATATATATATATATATATATATATTAAAGTCTACGTCATGCATAAGGCGATTTAAACTACACAACTTATGCCTAAAACTGTCGCATACAACCTATTACTACTTGAGTTGTACTGTGTAAATCATGCACACATCTTACACACCTTTGAAAAAGCAGGCAAGCTGTATTTACACTGCACAATCCAAGTTGTTCTAAGGTTACAAGCGGCAGTTTTATAGGCAAAAGTTATAATTGCGTGGTGTGTAAGTCGGCCCATAGACTTGATCTTCATTCCTGGAATAAATCACCATTCAGTAATTTAGTTAGTTACGATTCGTAATTACTTAACCACATTCAACACTGCCTGTGGAATATCCATGCATATGGATTTCCATGTTCAAAACATTTGAATTCATGTTTGCGAGACAATATAACCACACTAGCAAAAAAAAATATTCCTTCCCGGAAAATAAGTTTTGTTTCAGCAGAACAACGTTTTCAAGAATGGACAAACAGACCGGAGAATATTTGGAGAAACAACAAGATTATATAACGATGTTTCTGAAACATGTTGAGAAGTTTCTTATTTGGTTTTACCAAATATCACATCAACGTTAGTATATTGATATTGGAATCATATTGTGTCGGTTATTTCCGGGGCTAATATTCACTCCGCCCCCGCCTAGACACGTAAAACCCACAAGTTGTAAGAAACCTCCTGTAGTCTTGTAACAATGCTGCTCCAACAACTTGTCATCAGGATGTCTTCGCACTGCTTGTTCCCAGCTTGTTGACAACTTGCTACAAGGTTCCTGAGCTCAACAGTCTTGTTACAAGTTGTCCCAACAACTTGTTATCGTCATGCAATTCATCAATTTGTCAACACGTTGTGAGTGACAACCTTGTAACAACTAGCTTGATATGATAGCGCCATTGTTACAACTTGTTGACAAGTTTGCTACAAGCCTCCTGCAAACACATCTTGTTGATTTACGTGTGTACCAATATTTTAAAACACTCTGGTTAAAATTTTCTTTTGGGTTAATCCAGATTAAATTTTCTTTTGGGTTAATCCCGATGTTGCCAATCAATTCAATAAATACTTTATTAATGTTGGTTCAAATTTGGCATCTAATATGCATCAAAATCAAGTGTCAGATAACGTTCTCCCCACTAATTTGACACATACTATTTTCCTTTCCCCTGTGAATCCAGATCAAGTTAGCAGTGCTCTTTGTCGCCTTGATGGTAAAAAGGCGACCATTGACATACCTATTCATTTGCTCAAATTAACCAGCCTTTCTCTTTTTATTCCTCTTACCAAAATCTACAATGAATCAATTGAATCTGGAATTATTCCAAACATATTCAAAATTTCCAAAGTAAAACCGATCTTTAAAAATGGCACTGTTACAGATACTTATAATTACAGGCCAATTGTAATACTTTCCCCATTTGCAAAAATCTTTGAAGGACTTATATACGATCAACTAGTTGAATTTTTAGAGAAGCATGGCATTCTCTATAAATATCAATTCGGGTTTAGAAAAGGCCATTCGACTGAGCACGTTATACTTGAATTTACTGATGAACTTAAAATGTGCATTGATAAAGGAGAATATGTCTGTAGCATTTTTCTTGATCTATCAAAAGCGGTTGACACTGTTAATCATAAAATTCTTCTTAATAAACTATATAGATACGGTATGCGTGGTACCCTTTACTTTGGTTCACTAGCTACCTAGAAAATAGAATGCAGTATGTCGAGATTGAAAATACTGTGTCAAATAGTCTTAGAATCTAATGTGGAGTATCAAAGGGCTCTACTCTTGGATCACTCCTTTTCTTGATCTATATCAATGACATGCCAAACTGCCTTATACAAAGGCTAAAATAAGAATATTTGCTGATGACTCAACACTATTTTATTCCTCCTGTAATCCACAAGAGCTTTAACAAACAGTAAATGATGAGTTTCAACATCTTCGCAATTATTGTACAGCCAATAAGCTGTCGATCAACATCAAGAAAACTCATTACTTGCTCATATCATCACATCGTAAAACTGCAAAAGTTGAAGTCCTTAATATTAAGAAAAAGATTATATTAAATACCTTGGTATATATGTTGATAAAAATTTAAATTGGTCTGCCCAAATTCAATATATAAACAACAATCTGTCTAAAAACCTAGGAATATTTTATAAACTTAAATATCTACTGTTTTTGGACATGTTAATACAATTATAGGCTACGTACTTTTTTATCCTTATCTACAATATAGCATTATGAGCTGGGGCAATACGTTTAAAAGTAGATTAACCAAAATTAAAACTAAACAGAATAAATGCTTACGTTGTATTTTCTTTGCTCCACCTAAAGAAAGTAGTATTCCTTATTATAATATTACAGGGATACTCACCCTTGAAAATATTTTTTAAACTCAAATTAGCTGTTTTTGCACATAAAATATCTAATGATCAAACTGATAGACCTGAGGCCTTTAATCATATCCTTGTAAGAGCGTCTGATGTTCATGGTTACAATACACGGTTTGCAGCTAATTCAAATCTCTATAGACCAATAGCCAAAACTAATTATGGTAACCATTTCTAAAATTTACTCTTTCCAAGATATGCGAGGACATTCCTGCCCGTATTAAGTATTTGGATCATAACCAGTTCAAAAAGCAATACAAAAAATTTCTTCTACAATCCCAAAACTAGGGTGTAGCAAGTTATACTCTAGTAGTATTCATAGCCTTTGACACCATTACTATATATTTCTTACAAATAGCGGTGGCTAGCTCGAAAGCTATGCTACTGTAGCTATACCGCACACTTCCAATGTAAACTATTATGTCATTCGATTCCTATTATATTGTAAAGCTTTTTTCTATCTATTAACTACTCCAATTATGTAACAAAAGTGTGAATAAAATGAATCTTGAATCTTGAGAGATGGAGGTTGGTAGATTGCCTTAATACTTTAACTTAAGCATGTGAAACATATAATCATCAAATAGTTAAAGTGAAATATAAAAACAGACATAGGAATGGTTCATATACCAAGTTGTGGCTGTTTATCATTCTTCAGGCAACATAAACGTGTTATTAAACTTGAAAAGAAATTTTTATAATAGATTATATACGAAAGGATTGTTGTTTTTTGACCTTCAATCGTTCAATTAATCCTTTACAAAACACACAACTCGTGGTTCTGTCTTTTCGGGAAATTTTTACACAAAATTATGAGTAATAATAACGGCATATTGACCGAGCGTGGGGTCTGTATACTGTGAAATATCAGAAATAGTATGGACCGAGCGACGAAGAAGCGAGCTCCATGCAAGAACAGAGGTCTGATATTTCACAGTACGGACCGAACAAGCGATGTCAATAATCGATTTATTATATGGCTGAACTGAGTCTGTGAGCATATGCTTTTCGCGCGAATTAAATCGGCTATCGTCAGTTTCACTATGTAACAATAATACGGTAGGCATGAATGCTTAAATAAAAACAATTTGATTGTTTGAAATTTTTATCTGTAAATTTTAATTACACACAATTTTTGATGACACACAAATTTTCTGTTTGCAAAGCAAAAATTTCCCGCCAGATAAACGACATCCGGGACACCGGTCCAGATATGGAAAATACGGACCACGGTCCGGATATGGGTTTTAACGGACCGCTTGTCAACCAATCAGAATAGAGAATTTTGAAAAGCCATATAATAAAACAGTTGTTCAGCAAGGTTAAAAAAAGAAATTGAAACAGATATATTTCATTTTGAAGACGTTCCGTGCGTTTTAGGCATTTTTACTCACGTTTTTTCACTTACAAACAACAAAATATTAAAATAAAATGTTAATTCTTTCATTTACGTCCAGTTAATTTCTCGGTTTGTGACTTAAGATGGCGTTATTGCTCGCGTCATGATCACGTTTCATGGCGTGAATTACACTTACTGCCAAAATGGCGGCCGACGGATATGTATGAGTGAGACATCTGGTATGATCTATAATCCGTGACAGCGCGAAGCGCCGTGCGAGGGTACTAATTCCGCCCGGCTATTTACACCCAGGGAAACGAAAGCATTAGCGAAGTCCAAAGCATTGATCTATAAGTAAACTGGAACGATAAGTTCGCCGCCATCTTTGAAGCCGGCCATGAGTGTTTTCTGCAGGTAGCCCCAGTCCTTTTTTACAAAATGGATGTGAAAGATACAGCTTAAAAATCGTTAATATTTTCTCCTTTTTACTTTTTCAAGGCATTTATATTTATCCTAGAGCACACTTAGACAACACAACTTTTATCTAAGGCACATGAAATAAGTAAATATTGTTTAACCCCGAAATATGACACGAACAAAACGAAACTCGGCAAAAAACCGAGCGAAAATGTATGGTTTTTCTGAGTTTTTAGACTTTGCAGAAAGCGTTCTGAGACAATTTTATACAATTTATGCAGAAAAATCTTAGATACAGTTGTTAATGGATGTCCACACATTCAGAAACGTACTTTAATAAGTTAAGATTAGGGAATAAATTAGTAAAAATACTTCGTAAAAAAAATCAGTATTTATTTTCGTATACATATACCTGCGAACAGGCTGTACTTGAGCGCCCGAAATTTGGCTCCGCCCAAACATAGGCCTCTATTATAGGAGTAAACGTTCTAGTTTACTAATAGTTCAATGGCCCAAAGTGGTGTCATGGCGTATGGATGGACCTCCTCACTGATCGATCTCAAAAATATGGCGGATTGCCAGGAGTGGGATAAGCAAGAATTCAATTTTGAAAGACAAATATTTGGAAAATTATTTCATGTACAAGAGTTTAAAGCAATTTTTGCTTAAAGAAATGAGAAGAACTTATTTACTGTGGGAAATCGTATAATATAGGGCAAGTTTGCTTTGAATAATTAATGTCTTTGCCTGATGTCTTTGCATGATGCCTTGTCAGTGGTTTGCCCCAGTGGGGGGAGGGGGGCTATCGGGATTACCCACGGAATTTGACATTTTGTGAAGATTTAACACACAAAAAATTATATTGTACAAACAACAGTATAAAAGTTAGTCATATATTTATATTTAATAATTTAAACTGTTTTAACTTGGTTTTGTATCGTATAGACGAAAATGCTCTTTATTATTTTTTTTGTTCTTTAATAATAAAGAAATATATTTAAATTAACTCGCCTGTTTAAAACAGATTTCTATTACCAAAAAGTGAAAAAACAATGTGGAAAAAATTTCCAGAAAAGTCATGAAAAAAAGAAAAAATATGATGCTGTTTCCCGCCAAAACTGCCGCTGACCACATTTTTTTAACTTGTTCCCAGGCCTGATGATGAAAAATGCGAGGTTCAAATTCTCAATTTCCCCACCCTCGGGACACATGTACGTTGTCAATTTCTTGACACAGGGGAAGCAGGTAGCTATCGAATCCCGTGGATATGCCCGATCCCCCCCCCCCGGGCAAACCACTGACTGGTGCATAAAAGTAAAACATGAATTATTTTCCTTTCCAACGAAGCTGTAAGTTTCCTAAATCACCCTGTTTAATTTAAGAAAAAAACTTAAAATATAAAGGAGAAGCAAATTGATTTGAATACCGAACTGAAATTACCTAACAACTTGAACTTAATATTATGTTTTATTATTAAGTAAGTTTATCGGCAAATGTAGTTTAGTTGAATGAACATTCAACGCTCGCAAAATGCAAAATAACATACCTACAGTATGTATTTTGGAAATTCATTGTTGTATAGTAAAAAGTACGAATCTTTCAACTATTTTGCCCTTTTGTACAAAACATATAAAAAATTGAAAAATAGCGTGTTGTCATAGCAACACTTGAACGCAAGCCTGCGTTCAGTGTTGGCCATTTCGTAATACTTCATGTTAATTCAATGTTTGGAAAATATAGGCGAGGGGTTGCTGCATGCATGTATTTCTAGTTTATTAATATTCCTGGTTAAATTTCATGGGTGATAGACCTTTCTGAACCTTTATAGGGAGAACAGATTAAAACTATCTAGTATAAATAAATTTAGTTCAGTTTTGGGTTCTTCCAGTGATAACACCGGATCAATATAAGATGATCCTTACTGGACTTTTGGAGCATAAATAAAGTTAGTTTAATATAGGATTCCTTCTGTAGTATGAATAAGATATAATCCTTACTGGACAGAGATATAATCCTTAATGAACAGGTTAGAACTGACAGATGCTGACCAGTATATAAATAAACTTAGTTTAGTATAGGTTTCCTGCTGTAGTAACACTGGATCAATAAGAGATAATCCTTATTGGATCTCTTGGGAGAACAGTTTAGAAGTGATAGAGCTATCCAGTTTAAATAAAGTTAGTTTAGTTTAGGTTTCCTCTTCTAGTAACACTGGATCAATAATAGATGACTTTTACTGGGTCTCTAGGGAGAGCAGTTTAGAAATAATAGAGTTAATTTATCCGGTAGAAATAAAGTTAGATTAGTTTAGGTTTCCTCCTGTAGTAACACTTTATGAACAAGAGATGATGCTTACTGGACCTCTATAGGAAGAACAGTTTAGAACTGAGAGTTATCCAGTATAAATAAAGTTAGTTTAGTTTAGGTTTCCTCCTGTAGTAACACTGGATCAATAAGAGATGGCACTTACTGGACCTCTATAGGAAGAACAGTTTAGAACTGATAGAGCTATCTATTATAAATAAATTCAGTTTAGTTTAGGTTTCTTCCCGAAGTAACAATGGATCAATAAGAGATGATCCTTACTGGGTCTCTAAGGAGAGCAGAATTGATAGAGCTTTCCATAATAATTAAAGTTTTGTTCATCAGCATGCATTAAGCGATTTTAGCGTTTTGGCATATGATTTCTATGGTACGGCGTAATCTCACAGTCACCGATGGCCAGAAATTGAAACATACGCCTACCAAGTGGACAGCCGAGTGTAGTGAGTGAGTGATAAAACTGAGACTAATTGCTAAAGCATTTGCTCATACTTTAAATGTAGCTTGACGTTGCCAGCTGAATGGCCAAGCTTTAAAACGAATGAAAAAATAAACTGTTTGCTATGTGAAGCCGATATCAGGATGTGTTCGCACAGCTGCTTTTTCCCAGTTAATGCAACAAGTCTGGAACAAATTGTTATCATCTTGTCACAAGGTTGAAGACAGTAACAACTTGCGACAAGTTGTTCCTACAAGACTAATACAGGCTGTTCCTAACAAGTCGCAACGAGCTTGTTGTCACCAACTCAGTTTACAACTTTTTACGTGCAGACAATATCAGACTTGTTGGAACAAGTTGTTGCGAGTCTGTTGGCCTCATCAACCTTGCTACAAGATGATATCAACTTGTTTCATATTTGTCAACAACTGGGGACAATCAGTGCGAACACATCTTTTTGACAAGCTGTGCGTTTTACGCGGTATGGAAAGAGAGGCAACAACAGTTTAAAAATGGCTGTTTTAATTATTACTCCATAATTATTACTCCCCAAAATTATACCGGGTGTCCCACAAAAGGGTGTTTGATTTCATGTGAGGTAAAAATTATATGAGCTATTACACTCAAATAAGCTTTATTGTATTTAGGAAAGGCTAACGTAGATTTTGATATACAGTCCTAAAAAATTCATGCAATATTACGTGAGATACAAACGTTTGAATGAGGCGCACGCTTTAAAAATGAGTAAAAAAAAAATATCTAGAAACATGGCTGATCAATTTTATATGAAAACAAATTGCCATTTTCCACAAAAATTAACAATTTCAATTTCAGCATTTCAACTCAACTTTAATTTCGGGTAATGTCCTAGTATAATTTAACCTGTCGTGTTTCTTGGGAAGCGAAATAAGCATGAAACATTTAAAAACGTTTGAAAGCATATTTGACGTCCTTTGAGAGTTCGTATTATAAAGTTGGTCTTCGTGAATTCGCCTTTCGAATATGCTTCAATTAACAAAAGATCAAAGAGTTTTGGTTTTATGGTTTTCCGTGCAAGACATTGTATACGTGCAAGGGGACATACTTTCTATGATAAATGAATAAATGTTTTGGCCACAATAAAACTATATAATCAAGTTTAACCAAATAATATTTGATAGGCAATTTCATGCAAATTTTTAACATTGTCAAATATGCTTATTCGATTTAAAACATCGATAACTCAGTAAATATTGCACGGATATTCAAATGTTATCTATCAAAATCTAAGTCAGCCCTTTCTGAATACAATATAACCTATTTGAGTGCAATAGCTTTTAAAGATTTTATGTTACATTAAATCAACAGCGCAAGTTTTTTTGGGGACACTCGATCGGTAGTAAAAACTACATCGACAACTGTAAAACCGATTACGTCACAATTTACTTATTATACTATATTGTAAATAATATTGTCTTAATGAATATTTTAATTAGTTAATAACTGAACTGGTTTAACAAATTCGTGTCCGTAGGTCGGCGTGTCCGCAAAATCATATGTCCGCATATCCGTATCTTCGCGTTTTCCACCTCTTGTCAAATCGATACTAATAGCTGTTATCGTAATTGAATACGTCTATGTTACGGACCAGCGGTATCTGCATTATTTTAACATCTAAACGAGGTTATAGGGTCATGTTTTGTGTTTTTTGACCCTTTAGCCTCGTTTTTGTGCGTACTTCCACTGAGATACCGCTGGTTCGCCGCAGCGGCGTATTCAATTACGATAACAGCTATTGTACGAACTTCCGAGATAATTTATGTCAATTTATAGGTTAAATTGACGCATGCTTAGTTGACATTAGTTGGCGCATGCGTAGATTCTTTGAACATGGAGTGGCGTGCCTAAAAAAGGCTTTTCTGTAAAATTCTATAAAAGAACAGTTTTGTATTAAAATATTATCGTTACACTTGTCCATTTCCTGTTTTCGGGAAAAACGTAGCAGAGCTCGCACGCGATAGTTAAAAACAGGGCGCTTATAATAGGTGGGCAATTTGTAGACGCTGACCAAAAATAGCGGCTCATTTCTTCTCGAGTTGCCATTTTCGCGTCGAAGAGCAAAAATATAGACTTTCAGAGAATAATTTAGCGGTTTACTATCAAAAATGTTTGTGAAACAGTTGATAATCTTACTGAGGAAGGCCAACGGTTTCTGAAAGGCTAAAGTACGTCGAAATCCAGCTTTGGAATAGACTATATTTTCACCGGGGAAACATGAACTAAATGGATATTTACATCAACACTAGATTTTGCTCGTGCCTACAGAGCTAGTTGGATTAAAACAGATGTTAAGGAGTAAGTGAAAATGTGAATTTTGTGAATTATATTTTCATTAAAATGTTTCAGAAGGGCTGGTAATGCCAAACTACAAGTGTAATAGAGCTGTCAGTATACTCATATTTGAATGTTTATGTTGAAATGACCCATCTTCTTTGAGGTATAGCTTAAAAATTAGGGTTTATGCTCATCACTTGAAACTAACTTTAAATAAAAGTTTTATCTATAGTCTTTTTATTATAATTAAAATCATTCGTGGGAAAAATGTGCCAAAGGGTTGAAATTGCCCTTGTAAATGTGCACTATTTTTGACATGTTTGGGTTAGTATTTTGAAAAGGTGTTCTGGGAGGAAAATATGTCTTGAACAATACTGGTTGACCCTTAAATTATAACTAGTGTCATGTAAATCACAAAAAAATTAAAAAAATCTGGTCCATACACAATATTTTGGATTCTATAAGGTCCCGAATGCGGCTTATTTCAATGCTGAATCTGTTTACCTGGAATAACTTAGAAAATAAGTCAAGAATTTGACTATGCTCATCACCCAAAACCAGGTTTTTCTAATTGCTTTTTCACCTGAGTTTGTGGCAAAACCAGTTATGCGATATGCGCGCGGCACTTTTTTTGGACACTGAATATGGTGACATTTGATGTTATATATTGCCATCCTCTTATCATAGCATAACTTAACTTATTTTAGTGAGTTTGTTAAAGAATTGTGCTCACTATATATATGCCTGTAGTATCTAAGATTTATTCATGGCATTAGATGGTAAATTTAAGTTCTGTTTTCTTTTATTTTTAGGTGATAGTATCCGACAGTGTTTACATGTGTGTTGGTATCAAATTTTGCACAAGATTAAATTATTATTTCACATTCCTTTATCCAAATATCCAAATAAATGGAATATGACATCAAGCTGGAGGACTAAATCCTGTTTCCAAACTTGTTTTTGTAAAAATAGAAAATAACAACTTATTCTATGTTAATCTAATAATAACTATTATTTTTTATATGCATATTTAATTTTTAAAATTACATTTCATTCTTTGTTAAAATGTGTACCAGGAATACTGAAATGTTTCAGATCAGCTAACAGCACTTTTATAACTTATATAGCCAAGTGTTCTATCTATTTTTGTTCAGATTAGGCAACTGATGGGTAAAATATTAGATTAGAATTTTTCAAAAAAATGAGCTTGGCTGTTTTCAGAGTATAAAAAGCAATAAAATAAAGCAAAAGTACTTATTTTTAATTTAAAATCTTTGGACTTACATGTACAGCTTAATGTTTTCCACTAAATAGTACAAAGTTTTCGTTCATTAAAATGTTGTTTTATCAGCTTTAAAACCAGATAAACCCACGAAGCACTCCTAAATATATATCGCCATATTG